GACTGTACAAAAGATAAATTATCTTTTGGTAGACAAATCCTATATAAAATACCAGGCTCCAAGGAGTAAAACCAAATCTGACATATCCAAGAAGACCATTCTCTATGTCTGACTACTCTCACAACTTTCTCAAATAAATGTCATCTAAAGACAAGACCAACATAATTCCACTTTTTTTTTTCTTTTTTCCTTTTTTTCCAATAACGGAGGAAGTCTTCTACAAACAACAACATAAGAAACCATGTAAGAAACTATGTAAGGAACTCTAAAACCAAAAGCACGAGGGATGACAGTCAAAACATGTCAGCCTCGAGTAACTGAACAAAAGGGAAATGCAAAACACCCTAAAAGAGTGGCCATACCATATCTGTAGCACGGCACTAACTGTCATGAGCCCTAAAAAGAAATCAGCCCACAAGCAGTTCGTGCGCCTACACCTCAAAGGTACTCGGATAAACAGTAGCAACATGACTCGGAAGGGAAAACCGGATCCAAAACAGGGTCCTGCAAAAATCCATCTTAGATTCTTATTTTCAAGATAAACACGTAAAAGAACTACTGAAATTGTTCCACAAATAAATTAGTTAAAATGCAAAGATAGAGGAGGACCACAGGTATATATAGATGTGTCTGTGTGTGTGTGAGCGATAGAGAGAGAGACCTTCGGCCATTATCCTAAAACAAATTATACTTCCACATTCAATAATGAAACCGATGGCATCGTCATAGATTCAGACTTCAAAGGTTTCCAGTTTCCAATTTTAACCTAGAACTCCATTCATGAACGAGACAACTCCCCTAGCTTGACAAATCAAAAGAACAAGATTTTATTAAGGGAACTTACTATAGGAGCCTTGCACAAGGATGCAGGATTTTTATGACTATGCTTGAACTGCAGCAAAGAACGGCACTAAACAGATCATTTGCAATAGATGGCCTGGTCTATTTGCGGGGGAATTGGCTTTATTTCAGTTCCAAGCTCTTGCTCAATCCGATACCTGCAAGCAATATGCAAATTAACAAATGAGAAGTGATTAAAAAATAAGTAAAAGCCGATAGAAGGTTAAACAAATTTCCAACAGCCTAAGTTCCTATCAATGTCCAAATATCTAATAAAACAGAATTTAGTAAAAAAATATACAAAACCAAAAAAAATAATTAAAAAAAAAACAAATTTTAAAAACCAAGCATACAAGCTGAAGCGGTCCTCGTATGTGATTAAATTGACAGCAAGACCAAGGTGACCAAATCTCCCAGATCGGCCAACCTGTATTCCGAAAATAATTCAATAAGTATAAAAGGATACCTCAAGCACCAATTTTAAACGAACGACATGTACTTTTGTAACAAAGTATAAAGAGGTGAGACTTGACCTACCCTGTGTAGATAAGTTTCTGAGTTCCTTGGAAAGTCAAAGTTGATTACAACATTAACAGCTTGAATGTCAATACCCCTTGTGAATAAATCTGGCAAAACAAGAAAACGTTTCAAAGGGTGTTTACCCATTTTTTAGTTCCGCCTAGAGATCTTTTGAATTCATTGGTTCCATCACCAAATAAGCACTTCTGTTGAAAAGTAAATATTTATGGGTTTTTTTTTAAAACAGTTTAAATACATTTGATGGCAACTAATCTGCAAAGGAGGAACATACGGAGATGTGCCTGAATAAGTGTTAAAATTCTAATTTTCTTTTCGGTTAGTTAAGCATATTCAATTGATCATTCATTTTCAAGCATACAGTAAGAGTCGCTGCTGTTAAACTACTGAGTGATAACTCATTTAGTTTGCCATCATCATAAAGAAAAGTGAAAAGAAAAGAGATTTATTAAAAAGGGACAACATTGTTTCGCATTGAGTCCTTATATGCGTGCCATTTCGTCAATAAAGCTCAGTGGGCATTTAATTTTTTAAGGGTTCCCTCTCAAGAATATATAATGATCTTAATCATACCTGAACAAACAAGGTTTCGACATGCACCATTACGGAAATCATGGAAGACCCGGTTACGATGAGATTGCAACATCTTAGCATGTATGTAGAAGCACGAGTAACCGAGCTCTGTAATCTTCTTAGCTAGAAGCTCTACACGGTTTACAGAGTTGCAGAAAATGATAGACTGGTTGATTTGAAGCTGCAAAAGTGATACTTTGTTTCATCATATTCACCAAGAATTATTTTGTGAGGAAGTTTGCTATAGCCCAAAGGACTCTGTAAAAATCAAGGTCAATTAGGCCAGCACGTCCATTCAAATGATGAACAGTTAGAGAATGTGAGACCCACTAGAATATAACTCAGCCCAAATGATGGGTCCCATTATCTAACCGGCACACATTTCAAAGGACGATGACAAACCAATGGTTTATAGTTTGTCCAATTGCAAATAAATAGAATACCAACCAGAAATGTTGAAAATCAATATAACTGCATTTGAACTACTTTGGAATCTACCTTAGAGAAAAGGGTGTTGAGGCAGTGAACCTTTTGCCTTTCCTCTACAAAAGCATAATACTGAGTTATACCCTTGAGAGTTAGTTCATCCATCAGATTAATGATGTATGACTTCCGGAGAAATTTGTCTTTGAACTCCTTAACAGTAACAGGAAATGTCGCTGAGAACAATAAGATCTGTCTATTTGGAGGAAGAAAACCAATCAACTGCTCCACCGAAGGTTGAAATTCTTGAGACAAAAGTTTGTCGGCCTGAGGGAAACCAAAGTGGAAAATTTTCTTAGTGTCTCTAGAGTTAATATTTTTGAAAGAAATGTGGAAACCAAAGGACACGTTAAAGAAATATATATAACATATATATGTGTTGAAGTGTGAGAAACAACGTGCACCATCAGTGACTTCAGATGGATAACATTGGGTCATTTTCATATTTGTCTCGACTTATTAAATTCCTCAGACAATTATCCATATAGAGACTCTGCAGACATGGTTGAATGACTTTAACCCATGAAAAGAACATAATTTTGTGTAATTGCTCCAGTCAAGTGCAATGCACACCAAGTTTAGCTACTGGAAACAATTATCCATATCCAATGTTACCCCAAGACTTCAGTTTAAAAAAAAAAATATTAGCCCAAGAATCCATTTGCCTGGTTGTTTGTCCACAAGCTATGTAACGTAGATATGTGTGTCTATGGTTTTTCAGGATGTGACGATATACCAAGGACATGATACTAGTGTCTAACACTATAGAAACTTAGACACTTCCTACTTTTTTTTGTTAAAATTTCACTATAAAAAGTACTTTGAATCATCATCTTCCAAGCCTTATCCCTACTATTTGGGGTCAGCTAATAAAAAGTACTTTAAGGGCCTGTGGTACAACTGAAAGTATGCAGTTATTAAGAAACCTGAAAGTTCCTTCTCCCTCTGATGTTGGATGTTCTAGCTCCTTGTGCAGGAAAATACAGTGTTTGGTAACCTACCTGGAATTTAGAGGGAGCTTGGAAACTCTTTCAAAATTTTAGAAAAAAATTACGAACTATGCATGTCTTTAAAATTTACCAATTAAAAAAAAATCAAAAATGATTAAGATATATCTTTAGAATAATTATACAATTTATTGCAATAACTAATAAATATAACAACAACAAACATTTTTGGAAATATCATTCTACAAGAAAATGAAATGAAATTATATTGAATCAATATAGATGAAAAAAATTTGAGACAAATAATATAGACTAAAAAATTAAAAATATATTTTTTCAAATAAATGAGCATTCGTTTTCCTAAAAATGAATGTCAAGCCAAGAAAAGTCACGATATTAATAGAACAAAGGAAAAAAAATAAAAATGGTTATTCTAAACTTTTTTTTGCCAATTTTGAACAATTTTTCTAAAATATGACATTTTTTTTGGAAAACCCTAAGCCTAATTAGTTTTGGGCCTCGATCTATGCAATAATCTGTTTGGATCCATCGAACTGGATCAATAACAAATTAAAGTGATAAATGAAGATTTCTTTCAATTTGACAGATCTTCAATAAGTGTAATATTACATGAAACCCGAGCAAAAAATTCAAAGTAAAAAATATAAACAAAAAATTATTATGATATCTGGTGCAAATAAATAAAGCTCCTTGTAGATGGAAAACCCCATTCATTTTGATTAAATACACAAAAATTTTATATCTGGTGGATTGAAGAAATGGGTGGAAATAATCGAAAACAAAGGGTAATAATCAGTTGAGTTGAGCCAATAATCTTGTAATAGGCTTGATTACGATCATTTAGAGCCAAATTTGAGAAAGATTGGTTGAAAAATAAATAAGAATGATGCACTTGGGCGGATTTTTCATAAAATAGCAAGAAAAACCCATTTTCAGTAAAAAAAAAAAGGGCAATTATTAGTTAAAAAATCAAGGGAAAACGATGAAGATGAATTTATCATCCAATTTAGGGCCTCTTATATCCCTTAAATCAATTATTCCATTGATTTATTAATGCACCAAAGCTGTAGAAAATCATGCAAATGCGGTTAACCTCGCACACACACTGTCTCTAAAACCTATATTTACAGCAACATAAAGGCAGTGGCAGAAGGTTACAGAGAGGAAGAGAGTTGGAGGAGCGAGGATACAAAGAAGACAGGGAGGAAGAGGAAGAGGAAGAGGGAGGAGAGAGGAACGAAAGAGGGAGAGATGATTTGGAAAACAGGGATGTATTTTTTTTATTGGAGAGGCTGGGGTTTTAAGAGGGCTGAGCGAGCGAAAAAAAAAAAACGGAAGTGCAGCTCCGCATGGGGTAGGGAAGAGGCCCGCATTTCACATTTTTGAGCAACGTGGTCTCCCCACTCCTCAAACCACGCCCCTAATTGAACTTAGAACTGACTTAGGGTAGGCATTGGAACATCCGTCGTCTAAAAACGAAAATTCTAATTGGCAAACTGGCCCTAAATGTCACATAAAATCCCAACACACCTCCCCCCCACCCCCATGCTGCGCCCTCTTTTATCTAAATCATGTCTAAAAAGCCAATTCTAGGGTTGACATTTCTAATACTTGAATCAATATCAGACACCGATACACATCTCAGTGCATTTGTAACGTAGCCCACATGTGATTGGAACTTTCACACTTTCGATACCTTGAAAAGAATTTGTTCATTATCTACAAGCTATTAATTCTAACATATAACTATCCAAAAAAAAGTGTACAACATTCAAAAAAATGTAAATTTCAAATAAAATGTATAGTACCATCTAGACCAATTTCTGACCGATGATGCAAGGACCTATTTAATTGACAGTTAATCTTATTACGAGTAGACTATCTTATCTGAAATTCATATACTCCGCATACTTTTAGTTTGTTACCTGTTTACATACCTTGTATTATATATAATATTATTTCATTACTTGACTTCTTTGGGTATTTTTATCACTTTTAGTTATTTCTAGTTAAAAAAATGAGATTTTAGCATATTACTTTAAATAATGCAAGAACAACTTTTCAAACAGATTAACTTAAATATAAAACAACCCATAAGTTTATAGATATAATCTTATGAGGCACCCAGGGAAACAACAAATAAATTTTTTTGAAATTGTTAGATTCTTCTATTCTATCAAGTAAAGAGAAATACAATCGATCACAAAATTGGCTTCCCAAATGCCGGGAGCTCTATCCAAAAAATAAGCTCCCCACAGGATGGAAGCTCTATACAAAAGTACAAAGACAACCCCAAATGGGTTGCCCTGTACAATCACATGTCAGGTAAGAGGAGACGATCTGGGTACAAAAACCCCTCCCAGTGTAAGACTACGTAGAGAGGGGAGAGTCAGACTGTGCTGTTGAAGCAGCTTCCTTAGCACGATGTTATCATCCAAACAAGGAAAATAACAATAATATGAAGAAAATTGTAATTGTCACTTAAGTATCTCTAGTAGATATTGCATCTCAAAAAACAGATACAACCAAAAGAAAACAAAGTATGGATATGTAAAAAAAACTGAGAGAAATAGATTATTGACAATGGTGATACCTCATCCATAACAAGCATGGTGCAATCCTTCAAATTGCAAATACCCTTCTTTGCAAGGTCAAGTACCCTTCCAGGTGTTCCAACTAACAAATGGACTGGTTGATACAGACGCATGATATCATCCTTCAAACTTGTTCCTCCAGTGGTCACCATGATCTGAATCTTCAAATGTTTCCCAAGCTCTTTACACACCTGAGCCGTCTGAAGGGCCAACTCTCGCGTAGGTACCAATATAATAACTGCAATATAACAACCAAATATATATAATTCCATATAGCAACATTCTAGTACAGATCAGATGGCATGTCCAGCAATTGACAGTAATAACAAAAAACTTCCCAACTTAAAATACAGGACAATGCACTTCTGCCAGGAAATTAAAAGATCCACATCTTTATAATGGAGCTTATTATGCATATAAATAGGTTACAAGGTCATAATTCATACTCAAAGATAAGTTTTGTAGTATCTAAGCCACTAATTGTATTCATTTATAGTTTCCGTGAAATGTCAAGAAATGTCTATACACAAAGATGCTCCAAGCTTTAATTGCAATCAACCAAAGGTGCAGCTATGACCAACAATGATGTGGCCATATCTTAACTTGTTAAAGAAAAAACACATGCACCTAGACCCTATAGGCTAGATTGCATGGCTTATAATAAAAGAAGTTCCCATATGATGGTATGAAATCTAAAACCATAAGCATCTAAGAAACTCAGTACATTGTCCTCAAAAGAAGTTCCCATATGATGGACAATATTTAAAGTACACACATTTTATACGGGGCTATAAATAGGCTAATCTCAAGAATAGTTCGTCTTCCTCATCTGTCAGTGAGGCAGAGGGTGGAGATAAGCATGTACTGTAGACAGTTTGAAATTCCTATCTAAGATAGTTGAGCATCTAATAAGCAGAGAGATTTAACCAAATGTTGTAAGATTCGCTTTGGAGGGGCACTTTGTTTTGGCCGGGTAACGGAATTGGCCGGGTAACGGAAGAGCTTTGAGACTACAGCTGATACAAGGGACACCTTTGAGTATACTTTTAGTACTATAAAGTCTCCAATATATTAATATACAAGTATATTGGCATAAAGCTTGGATGATGATGATGATCAATATACAAGGTATATTTTTCAAAATACAAAATATCAGATCTAAAAAAATTTTAATACATCCAAGTACTTTTAACAAATTCATCATCATCAGAGCCTTTTCCCAACTATTTGGGGTCGCTTACTTTTAACAAATTCTTTATTTTTTTTTAAAAAAATGGTTGAATGTCAATGTTTCAAAAATCACCTCTCCAATTTGGAACTCAAACACGTCAGGAGGCTGGTGATTCTGGGCCCAAAAACCACAGAATCCCCAAGTTGCTCTCTTTTCCAGTATTTTTTTTAAATCCTTTTATTAGTTATAGCCTCGTCTAACTCGGATTCGCCAGAGTCAAACTCCGAGCTCCGACCCCCAAGTTGGAGGCCCATTCTGATTTTTGAAGCATTGTTTAATATAGCTGGGATATTTTTGAAATTAACACAGATATATTGAAATATGTCAGGGAGTGATTTGATTCACTACAGTTTGGAAGTAAAACCTGAAGCCTTTGACTGAAGGGGAAAGGCTAAGTGAATCTAATAACACTAAATAAATTTGTGACTTATAATTCAGAATATACATATTCCAACAAACAACTTATAATCAGGGGTAAGAATCACAAACCTTGAATAACATTGTTATTTTGATCAATTTTTTCTAGGGCGGGAATGCAGAACGCAGCGGTCTTCCCCGTTCCGTTTTTTGCCCTGGCAAGAATGTCACTACCAGTTAACGCAATAGGGATGCTTTCTTCCTGAATTGGTGAAGGCCTTTCAAATCCCTTCTCATATATGCCCATTAGCAATTCCCTCTTCAGAAAATAGTCTTCAAACTCATTGCCTTTTGTAGCAGTTACATCCTGGATAGCAGGGACACACATGGTTGGGGGGGGGGGTAGAATCAATTCTTCTTACCCCATGAAATAAACTACATATCACATGCTCTAATTTTTTGAAATCAAAATAGATTAAACAGGCATGGGCAAAATAAATAGGAGACATTGTTGTCAGAATCGGACTGTGAAAAATTATAGCAGATTTTGTACAACATATATACAAGCGCATGGTACATGGTCAGCTGAAAATTCAAGCTTATACCATCCGATATGAACATCATGCATAACCAGAATATACTATTGCATATAAACCAAGAAAAAGCCTCGCAGTAACAAACTACAAATTCTGGTTGTACGAAAATTAAAACAGTAACTAACTACAAATTCTGGTTGTAAGAAAATTAAGACCCAGTGCACCTTAGCAGATTTGGTTAAAGGTACTTCTAAAGGCCATTGAAACCATATAGTGGGCACACAGCCCAATAGCCATAGGAAAGCACTTCTGCAAAGAGACATACCCCAGGTGGCTAACTCATCTGCTTGTTTATATGTATCATAACAAATGATTTATTTACCAGGAGAGTATACTACACACTAGCTGTATCATGTAACATGTATGTAGTAAAAAAGGGATGTCTCGCCATCCTTATAACAGATAGAAGAGCTTTTTCTTCTCGATTGTCAGACACTGGAGATTTACCATACCCAGGTGAACATCCATCACCAAGAACCAGTGTAACGTGGCCGCCCACCTAATATTTTTAATAATAGTATCATCCATAAAATATAAGTTGCTGAAATCATACAACTAAATCAAAGCACCATGGTGGTAGGGTTGGCGAACTTCTTCAAACATCTCTTCCTGGGGTCTCCTGATTGAACCCCACAGCGTGAGTTTCAGGTCCCATGATCGAGCCCCATGGTGTGAGTTTCCTTGTTTTATGTCATGAATATTTTCTACTAAGAAAATATATATTAAGAATGTCAATATTGTGGAACAAAGTCAAAGGTGCATGATGTTAGAATGTTGTTTCCCAAGTCATCTAGGGTTCAAGCCTTGCCTTGGTCGGTTTGTGAAGGCGTCAGCATTTCTAAATATTAAAAAAGGATCAAGAAAGAATCGATAAAAAGGGACGTGCATGGGGTGGGAAACAAACTCCCATCTCTTGTCCGTTGGATGTTTCCTCTACCGGCTGGGCAGTGAGGAGACAGACACTCACATTTAACGTGTCAATATGTACACAAAAAATTGATGCCATCATCAGACATGCATGGTCAAGTGTCATGGCGTGTCGACACGTGTCTAAATCCCGATATGTATCGACACACGAACACCAAGCAAAATACAAAGTGTCCACATCACACTGCCAAGAACTGACATCCACCCTCTATCCTCAAGAACGGAAGATGCATTTCCCTGTGGTGTACCATAGTCCAAATACCACTAGAGTATGGCATGCATTCCTTATTTACAACACAATGTATAACTACAGAAAAAAGCAACACAGATTAAAGCAATCATTATCTATGTAGTAAAGTGGCTGGTTCTCAAACTCAGGCCCCAAACTACTGAAGTTCTGCCATCTGGCCCCATACCCCACAGTTTGAATGAATGTAGGCAAACATCGATAACTGCGATCATAAAAAGGTCATTTAAGTAGGCCAATGATACCATAAAAGGGATTTTCCCAGGTCAAATTTGCACATCTTAAATCTGAACATCTCCAAAGTTTGTATGAGGATTTGAGGAGTATTTTGGGCTTAAGTGAGATTGAAAAAAGCAATTTCAAGATGGAACGCCTTTGCAATTTCCAAATACGGGCTATGTGACATTTATTTTTTCCATTCTTCAGTTTGAATATATTTCCAAAACATGCCTTTCGCTGTAGAGAGAGAGAGAGAGAGAGAGAGGAGAGAGAGAGAGAGAGAGAGAGAGAGAGAGAGAGAGAGAGAGAGAG